TTTGCCATGTTCACTTGTTTTTGTACTTCTTCTTCCACTTTTCCGTAGCTTCACAGTTTTATTCCCAAGTATTCAGTTTCCATCACTTGTACTATTATTTTGTTATTTACGACTAGTTTACACGTCTCGGTTCCGCTGATATCACTATCGCTTTAGTTTTCTCTGTTGAGATCACCATGTTGTAAATGAGCGCCGTATCTTCGAATTCTTTAATTAATCTTTGTAGGTCATCTTTATTTTCGGCTGTCGAAATTTTATGGCTTCGTCGTCGTAGCATATTATCCTTATTTCCTTTTCTCCCATTCTATATCCTCTTCTTTTTTTAACTTTGTTTATGATTTCATCCATTATCAGATCAAATATTAAGGGGTCAGCGAATCTCCTTGTCTAATTCCAGTCATATTTGATATGTTGCGATAGTTTTCCTTACATCTTACCATAGCTATGTTATCTTTATATATATTCTCAATGGTTTTTACTAAATCCAGTAATATTCCCTTTTCATATAATAAATGTATCGCGTCCCGAATTCTCACTCTATCAAACGCTTTCTTCAAATTTATCAGACACATATATGCTGGTTTTTTGTATTCCAGCGACTTTTCTTTATTTGTCTTATTACAAAAACTGCATCCGTGCATGATCTTTCTGTCCGAAATCCTTGCTGTTCCTCTTGCAGAGATATTCGTTCGTTTATTTTTGTCTCTATTATTGTTGTTGTCAATTTGAGTGTTGTATTTAATAGATTTATTGCTCGATAATTATTGGGGTCTTTCGTATCTCCTTTTTTGAAGAACATCACTCAATTTTGAAGAACATTATTTTATTAATAAGAAGTTGCAGTTGTTGTACAAGGTGATCACCTCCATATTTTAAGAGTTCATTTGGTATTTGATCTTCTCCTGGTGACTTTCTGTTTTTTTAATTTGTTTATTCCTTCTTTCACATCGTTTTGGGAGATTTCGGTCTTTTCACCAAAAACTTTTCACTTTTATGAAGCCCAAAATTCACTTTTCGCCCTTTTCCATTAGCGATAACCAGGGCAGCACTAAAGAGGAGGCAGGAATAAGATTTGCTAGCGGTGACCTGAACAGGTTGTCGTGATTATAGGGATGAGCGTTTATTAGAGTTTTGGTGCCACACACCCTTCGACAGGATAGAGGACCACTTAAGTCGAAATAAGCTATTTATTTTTGTGATCTATTCTGATAAAAATATCATATACGCCATATCATTTCAATATACACTCAATGTATATTGTATATTATTGAACTGCAGTAAAATACTGCCTGATCTGGTTTTTAATAACCTATATTATTCTTGAAACAAAAATCAAATTTAATTTGTTCAAAATTTTTCGAACTTTTTTCCATCCTTAAATATCATTTTGTTTTAAATGATTATAAGTACGTACGAATTGATACATTATGAATGATATTGAAAAAAATAAATAAAAAAGCGACAAACTTAACCAACAAATAATATAAATCTCCTGTATCTAATGAAAATTTGCATACATGCACCTCTCCAAGAGAATTGCAAGGCATAACAGACTTGATATTGTATATGTCAACAGTTATCTGAAACTACGGTTTGAAATCCGAGACAACAACCGCTTTTGCTATATGTACCTTATTCCTGACATTACATTACCACAGTGCCCAGGGACAATTCTAGTTCTAGTATCGAGCAATGAAGGAAAATCATCACGGCTCTTATCAATCAGGTCCGGCTTATGATGTTTATAGATAAATGACATAAACCAGCTTGCACTGGTTAATTTTATGATTTTTTAATTTAATGATTTACTTTGCACCAACTTTTCAAAAAGGTTATGCGTTCGATGTTGTGGTTGGGGTTGAGTGAGAGAGGACTTTCAGCTGAGCAGGTTAAAGGTATTTCAAGGCACGTATACTGGTAGGGAATAAATACAATACCCGCCACATTGGCCGGATATACTTTGATACCAGATACTATTATAATATTTTTTTTTGACATCCGAAGAGACTGTTACCATAAGTCATAATTTTCAACTCAATGATTTCATGTGGAATTTATAATCATAACATGTTACGCATATGACGGAAATATACAAAGGGCTTGAGACAAGAGAAAATTGAAAGAAATAGGTAATAAAAATGTGGAGTATGTCAAGGACTCGAAAATGAAACCAAAGGCTATACGTGGTTTTGCGAGAGTTATCTATATTTCTAGATATATAAAGTCTTTTGCAGTCTTCACAAATCCTAACGTAGTTCGTCTCAAGAGTAGGTTGGCCTGGTCAGGATTACAAAATTTATGCAGAGAAATCAAATAAATTCGATCACTTTGAACTAAAGCATTGATTAATTATTATTTATAACTGGGAATAAGCCACAATTAAAGATAAAAATACGTTTTATTTATTTATCTTTAATTGTGGCTTATTCCCAGTTATAAATAATAATTAATTTACAATGCCACAAGAAAATAGCTTCAGAACAATAATAAAACATTGATTGTAAATAATTAAAGACACCGAAATAATACGTATGCATGCTTTGTTTAATATTAAAAACATGTTCCTCTGCATTTTTTGGGAACTTATCGTTTCGTTTCTTGGTCTATGTGGGCTAACAGTATACAGCAGCGTACTCCAAAAGCTCAAAGGTATTGGGATGTGTAGCGAAAAGCTGCTGTGTACCCTATCAAGACTTAAAATATGGCCATCATACGATTTGATATTTGATATTGGAAGACAAAAATTCGCCTCCAAATACCTGGTGAAAACAATATCGAAACTGAAAATATTGCAATCAACCGGGGCTTATTTCAAGGAGGCTCGTTGAGCCCACTGTGGTTTTGTCTAGCGATGCATCCCCTATCCCAGCTACTGAACTGAGATGGGTTTTAGGATCAAAAATAGCACTACTGTTGTGGCAAAGCTTAATCATCTATTGTTATTGAAAGCTTTAAAACTATTGGCTTCAACTCGAAGCCACCTGGATTAGATGCTGAAAAGAGTGGAAAATTTCTCTAATGACATTAGTATGCACTTCAGTCTTGACAAGTGTCGTGTCTTAAATGTAATCAAAGGAAAGGTTCAGCCCGGTGGATATGCAAAACGGCCAAAACATCGAGACCATGGGTGAAAATGATATGTATAAATACCTCAGAATAAAGCAAGCGCGGAAGATTGACCATAAGCAAATGAAAACTGAGATAATTACTGAGTTTATACGAGGGGTAAAACAGCTGCTTCATTCACATCTTAATAGTAAAAATTTTTTAAGGCACTAAACACCTATGCATTTTCCGCGCTACTCATTTGGTATTGTTAAGTGGACAAAAACGGATATAGAAAATCTTCAGCGAAAAGTACGAATACACCTCACAAAGGCACAAAACACCATCCTCGAAGTGCAGTAGAAAGAACGACATTACCGTGATATTTAGGAGGACGAGGACTTATGGATTACTAATTTAAGAACTTATTCTCAGGTGCAGGCTGAGACATCTACTCTACATCGCGCGATTTGTGCAGTAGATGATACAACACCGATCAAACTGAGAGAACCAGAAATGTGCATAAACCATCTTACTAAGGACGAAAAATGACCACCTGGATGGGTAAACCTCTTCACGGGCGACATCCTAATGAGGTCAGTGAAGACCATGTCGACAATATAGCGTCGAACTATTGGCTGACATCAGCAAAGTTGTTCCCTGAAACAGAAGGTTCATTACTCGCCATTTAGAATCAGCAAAACCAAATATTACCTGAAATATATCATCAAAGATCCTAAGGTCCAAAATGACTAATGCGGATATGGATGTCAAGCTCAAGAAACCATCCAACGCCTTACCGGCACGACAATGGCACGACTCAGTAGAAAAGATCCTTTATCAAGAGATAGCCATCAAACTGGGACTTCTCCAAACAAACCATCCCCCATATTATCAATACGTTGCTGAAAGTATACTTAAGAATGATAACTACAAGCTATACTGGCACCGTACTGTGCTCACAGACCATACAGTGGCACATAATAGACCAGATCTCGTACTAGTTAATAAACTGAAGGGAAAATGAAAATGTTAAACATTAGTTAAAAATGTAGAAATGCCACAAGAAAGCAGTTACCTTCAGAACCTTATTCAATACAGAAACTGTACAGAAAAGCATGGAAGGAAATGGGAGAGGCCTATATTCGAACAAAAATTGATTAGTTAAAGGTATTAAACAAATTGCTTTAACGCCTTGATTTTCAATTCGGAAACCGTTTTCAAAAAATACTAAAATAAAAATTATAAATGATGTCAATTTTTTAATGATTTTTCTAATTTGACAGTTGATTTATTTGAAAACAAGAATCTTTTTAACCACAGGAAAAGTAATAAAATACATATATTTTGGCAAATCACAAAACTGAGTAAAGAAAATCAAACCGAGAAATCAAAAAGAAGAAAAGAATTAGCTTCGGCAGAATTAAGTCATTTTTTTGTATGCTAAAAAGTAAGAAATACTCGTAATATATGGCTGTTAATATAGCTGTATACTTATATCAGAGTTGTTTGAAGATGACAGGAATCATATTGTCGAATTCTACCAAAACTGTACTGACGGCCCAGAAATTATGAAATGCGAAGTAGAACATGCTATAAATAATGTTAAAATTAGAAAAGCTTGTGGTCTAGATGATACACCAACTAAGTTGTGGATGATAACATAAAAGTAGTAGTAAGACGTTTTAATTCAATACATAACACCGGAGTGTTTCCCACAGATTGGCTCAAATCCATCTTTGTCGCAGTACCTAAAAAACACAATGCGAGAAAATTCTCAGAATATCGAATAATTAGCCTAATGAGCCACACTCTTAAAATTTTCCTCAGAATACTTCACAACAGAATTAGACGCAAATGCGAAAGAGATCTTGAAGATACCCAATTTGGTTTTAGAAATGCTATGGGAACCAGGGAGGCACTTTTTGCGCTTAACATCCTATTACAAAAATGCCGTGACCAAAGAAAAGATATATTTGCATGTTTCGTGGACTTCGAAAAGGCATTCGATAAAGTACAGCATGTAAAATTAATGCAAATACTGAAAAATATCGGAATCTCCATACAACGAGAAGTCAGACAAGGTTGCATTTTGTCGCGAACATTGTTCCGTGTTTACTCGGCCAGTTATTTAAAAAAAGCACTTGAGAGACAACCATATGGAATGAAAATCAACGGGGAACTACTTAATGTGATTATATATGTAGACGATACAGTAATTCTATCAGATAATATTGAAGGACTCCAAATTCTGCTTGATCATATTCACAAGGTAGGAGAGAAAATGCTCATTGAAATAAACTCAAGCAAAACCAAATGTTTAGTGTTTAGTCGTGACCCACATCCGGATGCAAAGCTTCAATTAAACGGAGTTTAAGTTGAGAAAGTTCACAAAATGACATATTTGGGAACTGTGATAACGGACCAACTCGATCCAGACAGAGAAATAAAACGTAGAATAGAATAGAATGACTAAAACTACTTTTATGAAAATGAAGTCCTTTCTTTGCAATAATCATCTCAGTTTAGATCTAAGACAAAGAATGGTTAAGTGCTATGTTTGGTCCGCACTTTTGTATAGTGCAGAAGTGTGGACGCTAAGAGTATCGATTATGAACAAAATTGAAGCAATGGAAATGTGGATTCATATACGAATGCTGCAGATACCTTGGACATCAAGGAAAACTAATGAAGAAGTACTAAGGAGCGTGAACAAAGATAGGGAACTACTAAAGACTGTTAAACATGGAAAAATGTCTTATCTGGGACATACAGTAAGGAGAAGTCGATATAAAATATTACTAATATAATTTATCCTTAAAGGCAAAATAGAGGGCCGTAGAGGTGTAGGAAGAAAACAAGTTTCTTGGTTAAAAAAACATTCGTGAATGCGTAGAACTGATAAACATGAACTTTTTAAGGACAACATAGAAAAAATAAAAAACAACGATTTATTAAAATTAATGAATTTTAATGAAAGTGACTAGAAAGGGGACGTAATATAAAAATTATTAGTGAACAATGTCATACATGTGTTAAAACAGCGCACAGGCTGTATCTAAAGTAAGAATAATGTAAAATTGAAATAAAAACTGATACCCACATTCATTACATTAAATTATATACATTTTCCTTTTGAAATATATTTATGTGGAGTAAGCTGCAAAATCGCAGCGGCATAGAAGCAAAGAAATTTGAGAAGCCCACAAGTGTGATAAACCAAACACGATAAAACTAAATGAAATTTATCGTATGCATTACGGAAAATCAGAGGGTGTGCTGTAATTTTTATTGCCCTTATAAATTTGATTTCATTCATCGAATTAGACAAACAGGAATATAAGTCTGAAACCGGAAACTTTTAAATCGTTGGGTACCTACGTAAACAGCTGTTACAAAAAATAAGGGGATAGAGGACTTTTTCGTTATTAAATTGAATTATTTTTTAATCTTTCTATTCTTTTGGGATTTTTTTTGTTGCCTTTTATTATATCTGATATATGACCAGCCCTCTTTTATAATTGTTGCTATTGTTATGGGATTAATCAAGTTATGTGAAGTAAAAGAGTAACCTAGCTATATGAAATGACTTGTCTTACTGGCGCTTGTATTTTTTAATGCTTCTTTTTAATGTGTCTTACAAAATTTGAGAAGAGACAACTCCTCTGCATATGTCTGAATTGAGCATCAATAAATATATACAGATATACGGGAACTAGAGTACTATATTTATATGGATGGTATTATGCAAAAATCAGAAACCAAAGAAGCCCTGAAGAAAATGAAAAATAATCGATCCCCGGGTGAAGTTGGAATAGTATCAGAAGCACTAAAAATTGGAGGGAATGTATCACTTGAAAAAATTAAACAACTGTTCAATATCTGCCTTCACAGCGCCAATATTCCAACAGACTGGAACAACGCTACTATGATTCTATTACACAAAGCAGGAGACAAAGCAAATTTAGAGAATTACAGACCGATTAGCCTTCTCAGCCATATATAAGTTGTTTACGCGAATACTAGTTAAGAGAATAGAAAGAAAATTAGAGACTTATCAACCAAGGGAACAGGCAGGATTCCGAAAAAGTTACGGAACAAATGACCATCTACAAAGTATAAAAACCCTAATAGAGAAAGCAGTGGTATACAATAAACCTCTAGTTCTAATATTTATCGATTTTCACAAAGCCTTTGACACAGTTGAGCTAAGCAAAATATTACAGGCGCTTAAAGAATGCAGGCTAGATTATAGATATACTAAATTATTATACAAAATATACCTGCAGGCAACAACCACTGTCAGATTACATATTAACAGTAATTGCATAAAAATAGAATGGGGGGTTAGACAAGGAGACCCAATGTCACCTAAAATTTTTAATACGGTGCTAGAACATGCTTTTAAGAATTTGGATTGGATAATAAAGGGAATAAAAATAGATGGAGAATATCTGAACAACTTACGTTTCGCCGATGATATACTTATAATAGCTGAAGATCTAGGTATGGTACAGGAACTCGTTGTGGCTACAGAAAATGTAGGTTTAAATATAAATATCTCGAAAACAAAAATCATTACCAATTTGGTACCCAACCAGAACATCAGTATTGGTGGGAAAGAAATAGAACTCGTAGATAGATATAAATACCTGGGACATGAAATTATGATTGGCAGGATAACCAGACTCATGAACTGAAGAGAAGAATCGGCCTTGGGTGGGCAGCATTTGGAAAACTGAGAGAAACTTTTAAAAGTGAGCTGCCCACATGCCTAAAGAGAAAGGTATTTGGTCAGTGCGTCCTCCTAGTCTTAACGTACGGAGCAGAAACACTTACCTTAACAAAAGTAGCAGCTACCAAACTAAGAGTCACGCAGAGAAGAATGGAGCGGTCCATCGAAGACATCAGGAGAAGAACCGGAGTGACTGACATCATCGAGAAGATAGCCAGACTAAAATGGAGATGGGCAGGACACATAGCCACAATGACAGATGGGCGATGAACAAAGAGGTTATTGGAATGGAGGCCAAGGGAAGACAAGAGAAGCGTCGGTGGACCACCTACAATATGGACTGACGATTTAAGAAGACTCAATAAAACTGGATAAGAGCGGCGCAAGATAGACGAGGTCGGAAACATGAGGAAGAGGCCTATGTTCAGCAGTGAACTCTTGAGGCTGAATGATGATGATGATGATAATTTTTTTCAAAAAAGCTAAATATATATATAGGACAGGAGGGTTCTGTCTTACCCAAGTCAGTCCAAAATCCGAATTCAGTATTACTACATATTTGTTCTAATATCCCGTATACTCTACTATTTACTACTCTCAGGAATATTTTTAAAATATGAGTTATGTCAGCAATATAATCAGGAAAAGAAGAATCAAACGATCAGATGGAATCTCCAACACGAATCTAAAAAATCTTCCGACGAAAGCAGTCATTTATTTAACAAACATAATAATTGCAATTAGTAAAATTGTATTGTACCTAGCGTGCCGGAAGTTTGAAGTTCTATTAGGACAATTCCTATTTGAACACGAGACTCTGAAGATGGGAGTACGACAGGGAGCAGTATTGTCACCTCTACGGTATAACATATGCATTGTAGACGTTCCAAAAACACCCGCAACATTAATAAGCTCTTACGCTCATGACACACAAGCAACTGAATACAGAAACTAGAATATACCAGTAATAAATCTACAAAATGCCCTGAATTCACTTCAAGATTTGTGCAAACAATGAAAAATAGGTTTAAACTCAAAGAAAACCTAATCAGCAATGTTCAAGAAGCAGAAAGAAACACCAGAAGATCAATTAGAAGTCTCAACAGACACATCCAGAGATGGAGCAAAATACATAGGAGTCATGTTGGACCAAGACCCGACATTCCGCGTGAACGTCACGTCTCACAAAGCAGCAGCCGCCCAAGAGAGCTACTTCTCAAATCACTCCTGATCAGAGTACTCACAGGAAGAAAAATTAAACTTGCCTTCAAAACCAAAACCTATTCCAACCATCTCTTGCATGAAGACACACGTCCACCACCATTAAGAAGATTAAATCAGTCCACAACAGATGTCTGACGGAAGCTTACGTGGCTGAACGCTTCCTGTTCAAAGACATGCATCAAATTATTAGAGTACTAGATATAGATACAATGAAATAGAAAGCACGCATAAAATTTGCCGAAGTGGAGAACCACCCAGTTGATTACAGTAGATCTCCCATGGTCTAACACTACGTGTAGGGTGGAGTGGAGTGTTTGGAGAGCGTTGAAGATGGGAGGGAAGTCTTTGGCTTGTTCAGATGGCAATCTCAAAGACGGATATTCGATTCTTTTTGTAGGACATGCATGACTGTTTAGGCCAAGATTACTACTCTGACTGTGAGTTTACATCTATTGATGTGTAACTATTATATTCTAGGTTTCCCTTTCAGAGATTTATTTGATCTGGATAAGTTTTGTGTAGTTGGCAAGTCGGCTGAAATTTGAACATACCGTCTGGATATAGCGCTAACTCGCTAAAAATATTTACTTATAATCAATCAATTTCTGATAAAATTAAAAACTTATTCTTGATTTTGCAGAGTATGGGTCACTTGGGCATGGGAAAAATTCTCGGACCGTGAGAACTTTCTTATCGGCGGCATCCTTTGATAGACCGCTAGGTGGGCTAGGTGGAAAGGTGAGCTAGCTGTCATGTCAATTGTTAATTCGTCTTCTTTTCAATTCGTCGTCTTTGCAAATGTTCTTCTTTTTAGAAGCGTTCAGCTGTTAATTCTTCTTCTTTGTCTGTTTGTTAAATTTTTTCTTTTCTTGGTTGAATTGGCTAGTGAGTCGTCGATATTTTTAAGTCGGGTATTATTGGAAATCGTTGCAATATCCGTTAAGTCCGGTTATTGCAAAATTTTTTTGGAAAAATTATATAAGCACTAAAAGTGCTAGGGCAAGATCCTAAGATCAAATTCGCTATATAAATAGAGAACAAGAAACACGTTAGATGTTTTGCACCAGCAGATAAAATCGTTAATTCTTACATATTCTTATGTCACAGGATACACTGCAATAAGGCACACTAGTTTTTTTACACAGCTGTCTTCCCAGATTAACTCTGAGTGTTGTTTCCGACTGATGTCATGGACCGTCCCCAGAAAAACTCATTCAGTCAGTAACTCTACGTCATCTGCATAAGCTTGTGCATACATAACTTGTCACTTAAGTAGACAGCCGACCACAAGGCATCACAGCGAAGGAGACTGAAGTGCTGAGGCACCTACGGGATGTGAGTTAGGAAGTTGACTACGGAGACACTAGACGTTACGATATGAGCTATCTGCCTCTGAAGGTACGTTAACGGAGATCATATCATCTTATTCTCGCCTAGAGTTTAGCAGTGCCAGTGAACACTCTCATTTAAAATAATACATTTATTTAACCTGGGATCGACAATATGGTACGATCTTATGGTCGGAGCGAGGATCGGCGTCTTGTTGTGAGCACCCACTGAGAGAGTACGGCCCGGATCATACTGAAAGTAAAGTTTTAACCCATTTTATCCTTAGAGATAAATTTCCTCCAGGATTCCAGGTAAAGGAATATATTTTTTTGCAAGACAGTATTCTCACCAGTGAGGAAACAATGAGAACCAGACCTTGCTATAACAGAGCCGGTATAATGCCGTCCTTGAATTTCGACTTATAGGAAGCAAAAACCAGCTCACCCTCTTATACGATATTTCCTCCTTCTCTATCCGAAAATCCCTCTGGGAAGTGAGCCTATCCGTGGCTATAGTGGAATTATAATCCATCCACTCCAGAAAGTGAGCCTACAGAAGAGTTCTGAGGGCTTGCTTGTCAGTAGAGGACAAACTACCACTGTGACAAAGCATAAGACAGGATCTTAGGAGAACATATGGTGAGGGAGGTAATTCATGGTAGACACTCCAAAAACGCCATTTATTAAAAATATCGTTAAACGTT